GTGGCTCAGTAGTTGAGCATCAACCTATGAACCAGGAGGTCATAGTTCGATTCTCAGTCAGGGCACATGCCTGGGTAGTGGACTCAATCCCTAGTGTGGCATATGAGGAGGCAGCTAATCAATGATTTTCTCTCATCATTGATGTGTCCATCTCTCTCTTCCTCTCTGAAATCAATAAAAATATATTTTTCTAAAGAATGATTGCTGATTGATGTTTCTTATAAGGAAAATATAATAAAAGAACAGAAACCCATGCAAATACTAGACTCATATTCAGTGCCTAAAAAGCTTCTGTTTTAACTTTTTCCTATATGTACTCTGAGAAGCATTCCAATTTCTCCTGAGACATGGGACCAACCTCTAAAGTAGAATTTAATAATCTCCTCAGATTATACCCATGTTCTTTCCCAAATCGCTGAAGAGCCATAATCCAAGAAAGGCATACTTTGAAAGCAAAGCCAAAATAACGTCAGCCAGAAGTAGCACAAAGGAGAAAAGATGAGGTCTTTCCTTCTGAGCTTATTGTCCAGCTGCAGCTAAGACAGAATCATGGTAGCTGCATGACTAACCATAAAGTATACAGTGCCAGAAGCCGGTCCATCCTTGCTGCTTGACACAGTCGCTGCAGGGAAGAAACATCTGCACAGCATATGTTCAAGGGACCTGGCGTATATGGCATACTGTTCTTAATATGTTTGCTCACCTTCTTGGCGCTATGTGTTTTAACCACGGTCACCTCTCCGAGAACGGTTGTTTCCCCAGGTAGGGATTTTTCCCTGAAGTTAGGGAGGGAATAAAGCCCCTTAACTAAATGCCAGGCGGGTAGTTAACCCCTTCAACTAGGGAGAATCACCCTTAAGCTACATAATCTTTACTCCCTGGAATGGAGATAAGAAACGCCCTAACCTTTGGAATAGAAATTGATAGGATTAAAATCAAGTGGTATAAATACAGATGTAACAAGACAATAAAACACAGAACTTGGCTGGAGAACCTGGCTAGAGATCCTGGCTAGGCTGCTGATCAACTGAACACTGTCTCTGTGTTATTCCTTCTTCGCGGACTCCGTCCACACCTTTGGGGACCCCTGGACCTGCAGGGGTTGGACCCCAACACACCTTCACTGTCTCACACTGAGGATGACAACTGGGGACCATCATTCAACCTCAGTCAGTGTCTGTGGAAGGAATCAATGAGACAGGCCTCAACCTAGCCCCTCCTTAACTTTCTCTCAATCCATTAATCTGGAGAGAGGAAATAATCCTAATAAAATTAAGGGGTGGAGACTGAGGTTTCTGATTGGATGTTAGCTTTTGAGAAGGTGTATAAAAACCTCAGGCTCCAGAGGAGAGATTCAGAGTCCTGCAGCTCTGCAGTCAGTGCCGTGGTTCTCCACCAGGTCTGAGATCTGAGCCCCAGCAAACTCAGTCACAGGAGACATTTCGGAAGGATTCCTTTCTGAGCACCTTGAAGATGGACATCCAGACCCCACCCACACTCCTGCAGCTGGCAGGAGAGAGTCTGCTGAGGGACCAGGCCTCAGCCATCGCAGCTCTGGACTACCTGCCGGCTGAGCTCTTTCCGCTGCTGTTCATTCAGGCCTACCGTAGGAGAATCCCGGAGCCCCTGAAGGCGATGGTGCAGGCCTGGCCCTTCACTGTCCTCCCTCTGGGGGGCCTGCTGCAGCTGCCTGGGCTCATGGTCTTACAAGCTGTGTTGGATGGGCTTGACATTCTGCTTGCCCAGGAGGTTAGGCCCAGGAGATGGAAACTGCAGGTGCTGGATTTAAGGAACACAGGTACCAACTTCTGGAGAATGTGGTGTGGAGACAGCACCTGGAATTGCTCATGGAAAGTACCAGTGGCCGTGCACAGCTCCAGCCCTAACAAGGAGCACCCCTTGGTTCCCTTGGAGGTGTTCCTAGACCTTAACTTCAATGAAAGGGACGACGGGGATGAGTTTCTCAAGTACATCCTCCAATGGGCCCAGCAGAGGGAAGGGTTGCTACACCTGTGCTGCAAGGCACTGAGGATTTCTGAGGTGCCCTTCCAGAGGGTCAGCAGGGTCCTGGATAGGGG